GACAGGAAGTAGTCCAGCAGCGGCCCACTACTAGATATCGTAGTCAGATGGGTGAACTTAAGAGCAAAGGTCAGATGTTCGCGCCAGATGGCCTCCATCAAAGGCTCGTTAACAGCCATACAGCCGGGAGACGATAGCACAGGCCCTATACGGATGACGGCAGAAACGTCAACGATAACATCTACAGCGGCGGCATCGCCAATATCAACTGCAGCAGCAACAGCAGCAGCAGGCGCTGCTCCTATGTTGCAGACTACTTGCTATCATCGCTACTACCACTAGCGAACGCTGCTGCAGAAGCAACATAAACAGCGTGGAGTGACATCAATTCTAGTGCCTGCTGCCCTTCCGTATTTCCCTTTTCCCTTGTACTTCAACGCATCTCCCGACAAGACCCATAGCAACAGGGAAACGGTAAAGGGGTAGTCGATAATATATACATAGACACATCTCGGAACTGCGAATCGAAGATGGACATTTCTCTTTGGGAATAGCTAAACTGATGTCCGAACAAGATAACTGCACGATTTACATATGCACCAGATTAGCGTTTGTTCTCTCCATCTATCATAGCATATGGACAGATACGAGTATATGCCTCAGTCATTCATCGCGCAATTTTCTGATTAAGAATTAAAGCAGCAAAGCTTCCCGATATTTTATTGAATTATGAAATAGTACGCATGTAATAATTCAGCTTGAAACACAATAATTTTATCATCGGCGTGTGTAAATTCCAAGATATATCAGGCCCAGCAGAGAATGATCGTCTTGGAAAAAAAACTAGGATCAGTTATGGTTTGATAAAGCTTTAGCTGAGGCCCGAGGGGGATCCAGTGTAACAGCGCAGGACCTCGTACGGTAAATTTTTTTCTTGCTTTTTAGAAGACTTGCTCACGGGGCAACGCTTGAAGCCAGCTCTTGAAGTTTTTGAGCCACGAAGCAAGAGGCAAAGAGAGATTGAAAGAGATGATTAGACAAAAGCGAAAGAAGTAAACACCCACGCAGGTACCAGTACAAAATTGAAGATGACAGTGTAAATGGAGCTGAAATAGAAGCATTGTCCAGGGCAGGTGGTAAGAAGGATCGAGCTTTCTACTAGTGGTGGCAGCAATAGCATGACCAGCAGGATAGTTGCCATCGGCAACAACGAAAAAAATGTCTGTGCAGGATGCAATCATCTTCAACCTTCTTACCTTAAAGCCACCATATTATTGTCAGAACTAACTCCCCTTGCTCTCTAAACTGCACAGACAACCATACCTATAGATGTACGTAAACGCAAGTGTGTAAGTGTCTTGGTATTGTAAAGCAGCGGCTCGTGTTGACAGGAGACGGGATGAGACTTCATGGGGTGCGTAAGGAGCTGCTGGTAAAGGGTTGCCTCTGTATAGCTTGAGTATGGCACGGACGCCGACGGTGTTCAGGGGCCTGCCACCGGGAGACCATTCCTACCATTGCTTGATCTTTGCGAGAGCCAGCTTCGCTTTCCTTCGATGGCGCTGGCTGTCGACGACGTACAACATGGCAGAATAAGCCCTCCTGCGCGGCTAGGTAGGAAGCAGCAGGACTTTGCGAACTACTCGTCACTGTTACCCGCTATTCGGCAGGCTAAGTGCTTTCAGCAAAAGCGAGTTAAGTGGAGAGCGGTCAAAGAGTAGCTTGCAGCTCAGTGGCTTGCAGCAGGTAAAGGCATTCTGCTACCACTGCAGTCTGCCTGAATGGTTCGCTGGTGGATGAGTGACGGCAAATAACGGCTCAACAGGGGTAACGCCAATACCAGCCGTGCTAACCTAAAAAGAGGACTCAGCGGGGTCGAGTTGTCGGGTAATAACGGGCTGGCTGTTGTTGTAGAGGTTTGCAGTGGCTATAGAGTGAGGGTAAATGCTAGGGATTTGCAGCAGGGTCAACGCCATACAGCTCGAAAGAAGCAGGAACCAGACTTGTCAGCCGATTCCCTGTCGCCCGCTCACCGGCCCTTGTTGTTTTCAGTTATGTCCCTACTAGTCGCAGGCAGCAACAACAGCAGCAGCAATGACGCAGTTTCCCAGAGACTTTTGCTCACCCATCGGAACATACGTAACTCCATGCACACCCCCACATTAGTGGACCTCTGAGGAAGCGCATGGGGATACAAGCGGTAAGGTAACAGCCAGAGCACACACAGAACGACGCCGGCTCAACAGCGCCGATCTGCTGAGACAACCACATGGGCGTTCGCAAACAATGCATAAATCTCATCATATATACTGTATTCAGCTTTGTTAGGTTGTTCTTAGCAACTTTCAAATATACATATAACAGCTATAGTTGTTCTTATAGACTTGCAGAGCGGCGCCACAATAAACAGAACTTGGAGTATTGCATTAAAACGTTTCACAAACGATTCTATAATATAATGACATTACACATTCTTATCACCATCCCGACTTTCCTAGAAAATAAACCTGGGCCTTACAGCGCGTCACATGAAATCTATCACAGGGTTGTTAACATTTTGAGCAGACGCAGTCTTCACTGGATTTGTGGAAACTTGATGTGCTGCACTATACGGCACAAGCAAAGTTATGGACCGCATAACGACGTGACGCTTTGAATCAGTGATTCCTGCCAGATGTCATCCTTCATCGTTCCAATGGTGACGAAATTACCATCGATTTTCCCGAATCTCCGTCATGGAGGAAAGAGCGCGAAAAGTTCAAATTCATTCTAACTTGTTCAGTGCAAAGGGGCATGTCGGCAGAGAAGCATAAGAGATTATTTTGTGCTGATTAGTGCAATTTCAACGCGAGGTTCAAGAAGGACACTCCTAGCCGATTTATCTAGCTGATGTTCTGTACGGTCGAGTCTTGCCATATTAAGTTGATGCCATATGCTGCTAATGGAGTGATTTAGGATCAGAGAGAGGTAGAGACGAACAGACGTCGTGAATTCTTTATGAGAGCTGCCGCAATGAATGCCTGCATCCTACATTTACATGCAGTATGAGGCTATAGTCGTTGTAAGGTATGGCCAGCTCTAGATATAAGAATTTGTTGACATATTTTAGGGGAGCGCCTGATATGACCGGGGCATCTTGCCTGCCTGTCTGGATTTCATCGCATCCGTTTTTGTAAAGCTAAACAGAAATTCGCGGTGGTGCCTTCAACATAGCAAGGGCTTCCTGTATCTCTGTTTTGCTATATCTGTAGACGACTAAGTCGTCTGCACATAGGAGCACCTTCAGAAGATTTCTAACCCCACGAATACCCTTGGGTAGGTTCTTCAGCCGCAATGAGAGAATAAGAGGGTTCAGATTGTCTTCCTGTGTCTAGTGTAGTTTAGTGGTTTGAGAGAATGGTAGCAATTCATAGAGCCCATCGTCGGTCGTAACCTAGTTTTCTCGAAATGTCGCTGCTATCAAACCAAGCACGTTTACGGTGACTCCTGCCTCTTCCAGGGTTGTTAATACTGCATCCCTATGTATGGAGTCAAATGCTGCTTTGAAGTCCACAAATACAGAATACGTGAATCTATGCAAAACCCCTGTCCACTCCGCCACGAGCGTCTAACATGTAGTGGCCGCTGGGCGCTCCTTTCTATACCAGTATTGCCCTTTGGGAACTGCTCATGCACTTCCTAGGAGAACAGCCCGTAGTAGATGCTCTCCTTCGCGACAGCCATGACGCGGGCTGCGTTGCTTGGTGATGACCAATAGAACGCTGTCTCTCCAACGGAAAGTCAAAATTGCCGAGTAGAGACATTCATTGAGTAACGCTGTCCAGCAGAACGTTAGAACTAGCGCGTTTGTGAAGTGTTCATTTCGGTTGTACGGTCAACTCCCTGTTTCTTTGAGGAGTAATTGTTTCTCCTGCTGTTCTAAATATTTTGTACGCTACTAGGCGTACGTTTTTCTGCGTATTCACTTGAAAAATGCAGCCAAGACCTAACAGACAGCTGAATTTTCGCCAAGAGTCTAAAAGGGTTTTGCGCTTTTCATGATGACCGCATGCATCGGCATGTACGTACGGGTCACTGTAGGGGGTTTATAGAAAGCGTGCGTACCTCCTCTCACGTCCGTTTACTGCTTTCAATTGGGCTTGTAGTAGTTTAGTCACTTGAACTCATGCCATCTATACATTGTTGATGCCTGCAAACGCATTAGGTTAAGATGAGTCGTTTTGCACCGATGTGCCTCGGCTCTACGCCAGTTCCTAAGAGCATTTAAAGATTACGGAGCCACCACGTACGTGACTGGTCCACTAAAACGTTCTAACGAAACTTACAACGTTTAAGTTTGCAGCTGTCTATACCATTCATTTTCATCGATGCTTCTTTGACTCGATTGCAACGGTCTTAGCCCTTTGTCTGCCTGTGTTTGTATTGTTGCACTTCGCCAAAAAGCTGGGCTAGTTTTTCCGGTACATAGAGGGATTGCAAAAAATGCAGCAGGCCTCCTCGGCAAAATTCGCCCCTGGCCTACTTATACAAGCTGAGGATAGTAAACTGGAAGAGGGGTGGGAAGGCAAACCGAGAGACAACAACCGGTCGCTAGTATTAGCACCATGAAACGACTACGAGGGGATTCTAAGCGAGATGAAATGGATGTAGCAGCCGCTTAGAGATTAGAGGAGCAATAATTATCACAGTTTATTGTAAACCTACAGCAAAATTTGCCGAGCATTATGATATTGGTAGGACGATTTATATCACTAATAGGCACTGTGCACGTATCCATACATATGAATATGTGCACAACTGTGCATAAGCAATATATGTTCTATTTACTGGGTGCCGAAGGGAAGTAACACACAAAAAATGATAACAGGAAAATAATCCACTACCGAAAAGGTACAAGACTTACAGTTGTCTAGAAAAAGGGTGTATCTAAGCTATGACAACACATAAACCATATATATGGTAAATCTATAAGAATACAGAGGTATGGACGGATAATTTATAGCGTCGATGATCTGCTATAGTATTGGTTAAGGCATAGCTTTTTTGCACGCTGAACCTACCTGATTCAGCCGCTGACCCTGTGGACTGCGATGACTGAGAGCTGCATTCGCTAACCGAACGTCTTTTGAGGCAGCTTCCGGCTGTGGCTGTGGTCGTCGATGGCGGAGGTGATTCGTTCCCGCAGGACGAACGCGGGGGCGTCAATAGTTGTGGTGCAAATGGCGACGCTGGACTACGCGGACTGTGCGGTGACCCAGAACCGACAGACGTGGAAGGATGCCCTGCATGCGTGGGATGACTCTGACCGATCACCAGGCTGCCCATCTGGTCTCGCAGCCGCTCTAGATAGCGCTTCTTGCGAAGCAGCTGGTCACGGTGAATACGGTGCCGCCGCTCCTTTTCTTCAAGTGACTGCAATACAATATTGAATGGAGATATTGGCCACAGGTTAGGATAGTAATGAAGAAATTAAATATTTATATAGCTACATGTGCTGATAATCAAGTATGATAAGCTTATCAGAAGAACAGTTAGTTTTCGGCTATTAACAGCTGTTAGCAGATGACGTTCCATGTCGGACAAATCATGTCCCTCGATACGCTTCCTTCATATGTAGATAACGGTTCAAAGAAATGCTACATTAGGTATTAATACAAGTGTTGTCGCTACAAATTTATGAGTTAGAAAACTCATTTATCAAATTCTGAGTGCCGGTATTTACCATAAAGGTAATATTGATTACATAAAAGTGGCCGCATTCGTGTTCACGCTGAACATAGCGTGCATTGAAGTAAACTATCCTGAGACAACCCATATTTTTTATTCAATGGGTTGCAATATTTTCATAATGTCACCCCGGCTAAGGTGTCACGCTACGAGACGAAGAACGAGACACTGAAAGCTCAACTCGCCGTAACGGCAAGATTACTCACAATTGAGAATGATACAGTAAGAGAAAAGGAGAAGAGGGAGAGACAATCGTTCGGAGATTCAGTGACAGAGGGGACAGAAGGAAGATCGATGGGCGGTCATGACCACAAACGAAGCCGTAGCCAGCAGTATTTTTCCGAAAACACCTCATGAAGGCTGCAATATAAGCGGACGTCAGCACTGCCACCGCCATTCTAGTCTAAATACCATGCGTTGGGCAAAAATTGATATTTCAGCTAAATTAAATTTGTTAATTAGTACATAGCCTCGATGATAATCAAAGCAATGACGCCAGCAAAAATAACACTTGTTGTTGTTGCTCTTGTAGCAACAACATCAACAATAACAACAACAAGATCTTGAATGGTCGAAAACAACTCGGTGCGAGACAGCAACAAAATGTAATGGCCAAGACACTGTCTTGTCGAACGAATGAAATTCTTTTCAAATCAGCTACTTTTTTAATATAAGTCGATTTTAAGTTTTAACTAAGCGAAGACGTTACTATTTCAACTTAGGAATACATGACGTTTCCTAGCAGCAGCCGTAATAACGGGAGGGCAATGACGAAATTACGACGATAAGGAATAGTGCCCGACCCCGCACTTGCGCTCTCCAGCGATTGCCCTCAGCGACGTCTTTTTTTGCTTGGAGACAAAAAGATAAATGAAATATCCATTTGTCTCTTTTATGCTGCGTCGTCGTTGTCGTCTTTGCCATTAGTGGTGTTGGCGTTCTTGGTGACGGTAAAGATAAACAATGTCAATACCTCTTTTTATGCCCTTTTATGTAGCCTTCGTTTACTCATTTGTTCGCAATATTGCTACTACAGCTGGCGTCGTATACGTGTCATGTATCACAGATGTACGTATATGTATGTATGTATGTACGCTTGATACATCGACGAGGCGCCAGTTCTTACTACAACGAAATAGTACTTGAAACACACATACACAAATATTAATTATAATGTGTTCAAAAAGGACCCATAGACATGAGCTCTGTCAAATATTAAAACCTGACAATGTCTGTCAACTTTGCTTTATCTTACTGTTTATCTATTGTCTTTTTCAATCTTTGGCTCATACGAGCGCCATCATCAGCATAATAATTATAAAAAAATAAAATGCTTGTGTACTCCTTGTTGTTTTTTGAATTTAGTTTTATTACTAGCATTTCCTAGAGATGACATGTTTGTGCTTCCATCTATTATTGGCATGTGGGTGACCGGTCTCCTAGCGTTCAGTGTACCCATGGCGGATGCGTCGCCACCGTTGCTGTTGCCCCAACGCTATCATCGTACTGCTGCTGTTTATCAATCCTTGCCAAATTTTATCTATTACGTAGATATCTTTAACTCCTACTATTGCTTCGCAGCTTCGCTCCATATGCTCATCTCGTCGCTTTCTATTTTGTCCGATAGAAGGTGTCACAGAAGCACTAGTAGTTGCATTCACGATAGTCCTACAAAGCGGTGAAACGGACAGATAGCTTTGGAGGCATACCATCGTAATATAGCCAAGCTAGGCATTAGTACTGCTGGCTGGGCACGGTGTAGAAGACGCTGGCCTACTGGCGTGCCACGTTGCTGCCTCCGCCACCCCAGCAGCAGCACAAAATGATGATCGCTCGGTTCAAGCGCTTATTCGCTCAAAGAGGCGGTTACTCCGTCAGTCAATCAGTCACCATCTATCTACATAGTCGTTCAATTATCGTTCGTTCATTCCCTAAACTAGCATTACCAACCGCTTAAATGTTTCTCATTAGCACTCAGTTGTTAGGCAAATTGCCCAGTTGTCGGTGCGTTGTCCGGCTATTTCCATATTCATATTTCCAGCAGCGGCCTCGAAGCGGCGACAGTCGCAGCAGACATTCTGACGCTAGTACGGCCCATCAAGCTGATAGATAACAAGTCAAAGCCGAAATACGGTCTATTGCAATTGGTAGTGTCTACATTGAACCACCTTGTTGTTGCTGGTGTTGTTGTTTTTTGTTGTTACTGTTGTTGTTGTTGTTGTTGTTGTTGTCAAGATCATCATGGCCGGATATCGTGGGCTGGTGTCCGACAGTGGGGTGGCATCAGTCGGCTGACGGCTGTGACTGCGGCAGCTACATGTACATAGCGATGAGACTATGGTCTGCTGACGACCACACTGATGGCGGCCTCTTTGCGTCCGGCCATTGCTTGCCACGAGGGAAAACGGAGCGCACCTATCTTTTTGGGCTTGTCCCTAGTATCCGTGTAGGAGTACAGAATAGGAGATTAAATGCTACGCGTCCCTTGTACAAATTCCACGACCACCCCCTGCGGCCGTCAAAGGTAAGCCGATAACCACGGTAACAACAGCGATGATGACGACAACGTCGACGGGATTAACACGTAGGGCGACATAAGTTTATGAAGAGCAACAGCGAGACATCGTAAACACAGACATACGACTGGATAAGAGTACAAAGCAACGTATGTTCTGTGCTCTTCTGTCTCGTTCTGAAATTCAGAAGCGTATGCAGCGAAACACAGTCGGAATGCCGGCTGTGGTAACACTGTTGCTTCTATCGTTTTGATTATTGTCTCTCCGTCTCAAATACGACCGTCGTTCGGAGGCGTCATCTTGTTGGTGTCTACTGCTTCACAGCCGTTTTGACGATGTTTATTGCAGTCAAACGCCGTTATCCTAGCTAGTTTTGTACACTTTTGTTGAATAAAAAGCTGGATAAGTGCAGGGCGTCTACACAAAAACTTAGGCAACTCGATTGTTTTCGTATTGAATATTATATATCATTGTTTACCCAGGCTATACGACAATTTTTTAATTATCATGCATAATATAGAAAACGTACACGTTGATACTCTATTACAATCCAAAATGTTCTTCCAATGATGTTGTTCCAAAATGAAATCGGAATACATCGGTAGTATAGCCAAGTATAAAATCGTCATCTCCATTACAAACGGCCGTGGAATAAAGGATACGTACGCCCATATATCTAATACGTGACACACTGCACTCAATCAATTGTTACTATTATTATGTGCATATTTTTCCTCATTTATGCTCGGCCGGGGGTATCCAGTTATAACCAGTATTAATTATATTACAATGGTACAAGCCAGCTGTGTTTTTGTACCCTCAAAGCAAAACAAAAATAGTGTACTAACTTGTACTCCCCCACATCCGCGAATCGCTCTGTCTGCTATTACACATAGACAAGTAAAAACATAAAAAAAAATATGAAAGATACACGTGTGTGCACTCATATATATATATATATATATATATATATATATATACATATGTAGGCAATAAGGGTCCCGCACTGTTCTAGCCAAAAAAAACTGATGGTCTGTCTCCACAAGATGATGCCAAGCAGATCAAAGCCGATGAGATCAAAGTTAACGGTAGCGATAGTAGTAGAAGAAATGTGCTAGCGAGCGTCTTTGCGTTTTCCAACAACAACAGCAGTGCAGCAGATATCCGGCCCCTGGCCGTCCTCCGTCGGCCATGTGCCGGCAGAGCATCGATTGAGATCACATTCCTCTAGTGTCCCAATGCCCCATACCCCTGAGCGGCTATGCGGAGGCTCCCATGGCACGACACCCCCTTCCGATATGTACAAAGAGACAGAGACAAGGCAAGGTGCTGTCGTCGGCCAGGCTCCGCCTGTTCCTGTATCACTTCAGTGTCGCTTCCCAATCTCCTTTATGACTTGACGGCCCTGTATAGCTAGTCGTTTCATGCGCGTGGTCGGAAGGACGAATGATAGAACTCGTTCTATGCTGTATGTACTTCTGCGAATGAATGTAGATACGGAGACAAATGCATCGGGCTGATCTCGATCGAACACCAGGCGCAGACGGCAACTGTTGCAGGGGTCACACTGAGATTGGGAGACAACGCTATATAGCATTGTCTATGCATGGGAAGTAGGGATCGAGTCGAGTTCCTTAAGTTTGTATCATAACCGGACTATGTAGCACATATTTCTTCGGCTTTTACATCGTTATGCCAATTACATACCGCCCTTGTCGTTACGACGAAACGAGTAGTAGTAGTTCTATTATACAATATCTGCTATTTGATGTTGGGTATAAACAAGAGCGTAAAGGAGAATTTTTTCTTTGAACTACGGACGCATCAGACTTTGAAGGTTGTTGACGTTGAACTATCCTATTTACGTGTTCGTATTAGATTAGTTAAGTGAAAAATGGAAAAAGCAGCTAAAGATGTCTAAAGCAGCACGGACAAAACCTTCAAATAACAAATACGTAACAGTTCTAAGAAGAGGGTTCTTGTTTGTCAGAGCTGGTAATACCCCTAGACACGAAACAGACACTTGAAATCAAAGTGTAGTACGCTACATACATAAAATAACAGGTAGAACGTAGTAAAGTATGATCGCTATGAAGAAGCTTGGTTCGATTCGAAAGCGAAGGGGAGCAATATGCGGCGGATTATCAGGTCGACATGTGTGTTTTGACG